ATACTTATTTTCCACCATAATTTGCAAAAAAATTCTTTCCAAATCAATGAATATGATTGTCTGGATTTGTTCTCTCATTTTGTCTCTCATAGTTGAGGTCTACCTATGATGTCAATTACAGGCCTCTCTCATCTTTTTAAGTGGGAGAACTTGCACAAGTGGTGGCTGACTAAATACTTTTTTGCCCCACTGTATTTATAGGCAGGTCATAGCATGCCCGTGAATTACCTCTGCTTTGTGAACTGCTTATTGGTAGACTTCCAGTAAAATTCAAGTTGTTGGTTATGTTGCTCTTTACCAGGCATAGGGCTTGGTTATTTGAGGGAGCACCTATCTCCTATAGTTCCTGTCCAACCATAATGTCTCAAAACATTGGTATCTTCCAGGTCTCATCAATTAAACAATGTTGGGGCCCAAAGAAGTGGACTTTCTCTCTCATGGCATTGCTGGAACACCATCCCACCTGAGATTCACATAGCCTTTACCCTGACCTCATTTAAACGAGTCCTTAACATCTGGCTGTATCCCCTGGCTATGAGCTAGAATTGTTGGCAAATCCATGATGGAGCATTTTGGTTATGTGATTGATTGTTGGTTTTCTCCATAGTTTCTTTTGGATTCTATATTCTTCCTGCATCTTCATTGTTTTTACTGTTGTGTTTTGTCAATTATGCATTAAAGATGCAGTGCTTAACTTTGTCCTCTAAGAGTCAGCAATTTATAAGACCTTCTAAAGATGCACCAGTCAGTTTAATTTTTTGCTAATCTATGAAGCCTCTTTGTTTAATGGATCCATTTACAAATTCTATTACAAAATAGCTCTTTTCAATGATTAATTAATCAAACTGTGTCAATGTGTATGTGTTCATGTGCATGCCACCAATAACCCCCCCTCCTCCTATTCTGTACAGGAATGAGATATGTCTACAGTTTTTATACCAAATACTTTATTGATTTTTTAAATGAAAAAAAGTAAGCCAGTGCCCTGAATAGTGTGCTACTTTTTAAATGAATAAATTTATTAATATTCTAAAGTTCACTGGAGTTTCAAAAATATAAGCACTTTAAAAAACAATTAAACTCAGCTAAGGAAACTTAAAATTAATAACTAGGTCATAAAGATACAGTATTATACAAGTACTTATTTTATTAAGGGGAATGATAAATTTCACGCTTCAGACCATTTTTTTATGTTCTCATAGGTAAACTATCTGTGGAGAACCAGATTTTGTGCACTGCTACTGGCAGTGAGAGGTGAATTAGCCTGCAATACTGCATTCTGCGCCATCACGGCTCTCCTATACATTAAGAAGATCTTCTTTTCAGTGAACTGTTAGAGATGAAACCAACACACAGGACATCACTACTGTATCAATTACAATTTGCAAATATATATGCATTGTATCATTTTTCCTTCTATATAGTTATTTGGATCAGATTGATTGGGATAAATTTATGTCCTTTCAATGTATTAGAGATAGAAACTGAATTGTTGGTGTGACTACATGCAATGACTAACATTTTTATTAACCTTTTCATCTATTTAAAATGATCATTCTACCACTTAATAATTTAGGATCTTTCTCATATATTTCTTACTTTAGTTTCCTAGTGGTAAAATAAGTTATTAATTTTCTTACCATTTCCTTGTTTGTTGGTTGGATACAGGTATGCATCTCAGGCCAGCGCCTACTACCATGAGAAAGGATGTTAGCAGCACAGTTTTCCGGAGGCCTGCAGGGGGGGAAAAGTAGACATTGCTATAGCAAAACATGACAACCTTGACAAATATCAATTCAGGAGCTGTAAGGTTCAAATTAATCAAGTACAACACTGTTAATAAAATCCCAATGATTAAGATAATAAAAACAGTGTTTCATCATAATTAAGAACAAAACAGTGCTTGACCTTATTACACACTGTTGCCAAGCAAGAAGGCATGAGGGAAATAGTCTTATGCTTTTGTTATCTCCAACAACCGGTGGTTAGAGGCGTATTGTCTTCAGTTCTTCAGTTCATCGACATGGTTTGTAGCCACATTGAGTTTCAGCCTCTATACATTTTGTCTACTTTCCTTTTAAAGCAGTGAAGACTGCTGATCACGATACAAGCTTGTATTACTGAATTCTACAACAGAATTACATTCTGCACAAATAATGTTGGAAAGATATTGTAGAAGATAATATTTTCCCAACAGAAGATACACAGAGGAACTATTGGAACGTAAAACCACATTGCACTCCTTAAGAACGTAAGGATAGCCCTGTTGAATCAGGTCAACATCCATTTCAAATTAGAACTTGGTTTCCCACAATGGCCAGCCAGATGCCTCTGGAAAGCATACAAACCAAACATGAAGGCATACCCCTCTTCAACCACCAGCTGTTGTTTTCCTGATATTGGTAGCTGAAGGAATGCTGTCCCTAACTTTGTGGTGTTAATTCCAATAACAGCCCTTAATAAAGCCTCTTTCTGTATTCCTGTGGATTAGATAAATGTTCTTTGAAACACATTCATGTCAATGATCATCATTGCATGCTGTGGTAATAATTTTACTAGTTAATAATGTGCTTATATGAAGACGTATTATTTTTATCTGTTCTACGTATATTTCCTCCCAAATATATTGGATGATCTCTAGTCCTTATGTTCTGAAAAGGAATTTGTTTCTATTTTTTCCAAACTATGATTTTATACTCATTTATGTCTTTTCCACCTTTTTTCTATGCTAAATGGTCCTCAAAGTTCTATCATTTTCTCACAGGCAAGGTGTTCAAATTTTCTTGTCCTCATCTGCCTTTTCCCAGATCCAGGTTTTTTTTTTAGTTAGCAACCAGAATTACACAGACTATTACAGATGTAGACATCTTGAATTTGGAAAATCTTACTATGTTTATTTTCTATCCTTGTTTCAATGATCTCTAGTGTGGAATTTGTGTTTTCTCAAATCCTGAATACTGAGCTCATATCGTCACTGAACGAACCAATATATTTTTGTCACTAATTTCTTGGTTCAAATGCCAACAATTATACATGTGAACTTGTAGGGTGGAGGCGGATGTTGACTTAATGTGCATCTGTTTACACTTAGTTCAGCTAACCACATTCATTATTTACTTGATTAGTTTTATTCATCAGCTTTAAAGAGCTCTTTGCAATCATTTATGGCTTACCACCTGGAATAAATTGGAAACATATGCAAACCTGGCCAACTCATTGCTTATCCCTAAGTAAGTCAAGATCATATATAAACATTGAAAAGTACTGGTCCCAACTCAAATCTTTGAAGCACTATATATCTTACTTTCCTCCATTCAGGAAAATTCCTGTTCATTTCTACTCTATTTTTTCAACAGTTAGTCCATAAAAAAAAAAACTTATCACACAGCCACTAGAGATATTTTGATGAGGAATTATATCAAAGGCTTTGAGAAAATCCCAGTAAATACCTCTTGATAGTCATGTTCCTCTATGTGCTTACCATGTCTACCAATTTGAAACAAACACCATCCATCTATCCATCATCCAATTTCTATGACTCTCCATCACAGTTAATTACTATGAAGCTGATCAGTCTGGGATTCTTATGCATCTCCCCAAATCCCTTTCTAAAATTAGGATCATATTGTCTGCTTTCCAGTCCTCTGGCACTGATTCTGATTTGAAGGTCATTATTTTGTTTTGCCTTAAATGCCCATTTGACATGTAAGAATTTTAGAGTGGCTGGCATCAGGACCTGGTGATATATCACTATCTCCTAGAATATCATGCACTGTTAACCCAATTTGCTTTAGCTGCTTTATTTCTCACCTTCATCCCCTCAAAAGTCAAACCCAGCTTATGTCTTCTATAGTAACAAAAGATGAAAACAAAAAAAGGATCATTTGGTTTCTCTGCAATTTCAGTATTTTTCTTGATTCAATATTTTTACTATTTTGTTATCTAATGGCATTCACTTTGCTAGCTGGTGTTCCTTTCAGTCTTTTTTATTAACTCCCTCATTTTTCAGAATTTTCTATTTTTGCAATCAGATTTGGCTGTGCTGGACCTGAAGGCAATTTTCATGTATGGTAAACCTAACAGTATTCGTTCTAGCAGTACAAACTCTATCTCCAGTAGTACCTAATGACCTTTTGTGAGATGGTTGGCTTTCTCTATCATCCTTTATGTTTAAACTTACTGTAGTTGTTTGCATTTGCACTTTAAGAATTTCATATTTAGGAATTCCCGCTCACCTTGAGCTCTGTTTTTCAATAGCTTCTATTGCTGTGAAATCCTATTTATCATGCTTTGAATTTATCTCTTATACTTGGTTTTTGTAACTTCCATTTACTCAATTAAGCCTTTCTTATTGGTTAGTACCAAAGTCAAGGACTGCTGAATCTTTTGTGCTTTTCTCCATTTATCAAAGAAGAAAGTCATCACGAAATGTTTTGATAATTTTACTTGCATTCTTCTGTGGTTTTCCAGATGTATCATTTTTGAAATTCAGCGACCAGAACTGCACCAGTATTCTAAATGCTGATGTTCTATAGATTTATATAGATGGATTACTGTACAATATAAACTTGGTGGTTTTCCTTTCAATCCCTTTCTTAATAATCCCTATTGAGTTAATATCTTCGTTGAGCTCTATTCGCTATAAGTTTTCACATTTGTAGTCAAATGTGACTGTGCTGCACCCTGCAGGAGTTTCCTATTTGCATGCATGTTTAACCTAATAGTATTACTTCGTAGTATCAACTACGCTTCCAGCACCATTACAAACGTCCCAGTTCTTCTATAAGGGAAAGAAGGTAAATTGGTGGGTTTGTTTTTTTTTACTACTACAGACTTTCAAACACAGCACTTTGTTGTACATTTTTATGAGAGATGTGGATCAAACAGAAGTAGGTAGAGGCTTAATCTGCTCCTTATCCTTGGGCTTTCCCATCTTGGAAAATCAATGCTTTTGTGTCTTTAGTTTTACCATGAGTTGTGTCTCCTGGACACACTTTAATGCACTAGAATACTAATAACTAATTCTATAGACATTTTTACTAGACAACTGGGTTCACGATATGTAATATTGATTTAACATGCTAAATATGTTAGAAAATATCCACAAAGACTATTATCAGGTTCCTATTTATCTCTCCCACACATTCATTTCCCACCTGGGGAGTATAGTTTATGGATTTCCAACAACTCAAAATAAGAATGAATAAGAATGGAGCAAAAAGCAGTATTTTTCCCTATTTTCTCACACTTCTTCAGGCTAAGAGAAAGCTAATTAGAGGCACACTGAGTTTCAAAATGCATAAAATACCTTTAACTGTGTTGAGTTCCAGATGTACGGTACTTATTGGGAAGATATCTGTATGAAGACCCTTAAGGTATTTAACTGAACAACAGACATCTATATTTGTTTATCCATACTTACATTAATCTGTGTGTCACTAGAAGCTAACTCTGATTTGAAGATACATAATCAATTAGTTCTTTAACAGTTTTAATGCTAAAACCTTTTTAGCATTGCATGCTATATCATCGAAGTCAGGCTACAGTTAAAGCATTACATCTCCTAGAACATTACAATGTTCTCCATATTTTTTTTTCTGTACCATAAATGTTGGCAAATGCTGTTCAAGAAAAGAAAAAAAATAATGCTAGAGATTTAGGGAATGTGAATAAGTCACAACTGAAAGCCAAGGAATAGTATGGACTGTTACTCATCAATTATTCTGGCAAACAGCATTGTCAACAAATAAGTCTTTATGAAAACCTATCTGATAGACAGAAGTTATTGAAAATATAACTCTGATCACAGTAACATAAGAAAGAACCAATCACCACTTGGGAAATAGGGATCTTTGCAAAAAGAATTTCCAAAGGTTTCCACAAAAGTAAAAAGATCTGTGATATATTTGCCAGGAAGCAGAGTCCTGATAACAGTTCATCCTCTTATCAGAGTTCAACTTCTTTTCTATGCTCTCCAACAATGCAATCTTGGTTTCTACTAACTTCCAACCAACTCTCATCTCAATGGATAAGAAGCCTGGCTGGACATCAGCTTTTCTTAAGCTTTTTTTTTTCTGTACCTAGGATGAAATATTTTATAATTTACTTGTTATTTAGCTTTTATTCTTCCACTGTCTATATTCTAGGCAATCTAGTGCTATAAGTGTGATTTTATATCATCTTACAATTTGTAAACAAACCATCACCAAGTATATTGGATTTAAATAATTTTTAATATTTTTACCATGCATAGATAGCTTCGTTATTGTCCAAATGAAGAAGAATTCTATGTGAAAATTCTATCAGTGAAAATTAGAGTGCAGAATTAATCCTAATCTTCATAAAGGTGAATAAACTCTGGACATCAGTATCCAAAAAAAGATTTGAGTACCACAAGCTGAGTCCAGTTGGGCAAGGTATACTTCATACAGAAAGACCAATTGCATTCTGTTCAAATATTAGTGCTGGCTATTTCCCCAAGCACCATGGGGAAGAACAATATGTTGCACAGAATAAATGAGAACAGAGGTTTGATGCCCACCTAGTAACCATAGCAGTGAAACTGCTCTCTGCTCTCCGACTTAGGTGAATTGGAAATTTGTCAGATAACACTGATCCCATTTATTGCTTGGAGCTACTGTCTTGTATTCCTTCTTCTCCAATATTAAGCCACACTAATCTAATTCGATCTCATTAAAAGAAGCAAATCCTTCTTTCGGTAGCTGTGATTAGGA